CCGTCTGTTCCCGCCTCGTTAATTCGATCCCCTGGGTCGGATCGTGACAAATGCAACAAAGAGCATGTTCGAAGTTGCTATTACCATGACATGAGCAAGACAATAGTCAACAATGAACAAAGTCGATGGTGGAAAACTTCTTGATAGTAAAAAATTCTATGAAACATCCATACATATGAAGAAAAAAATGGTCATATTTATTGATCTATAGATGATTATTTTGGTCTTTATTTTTTTATTTATCAACAACCAAAGGTGAAGATTAAAGACTCCTATTATTGAAATTAAAGTGAATGATCGACACAACAAAGACAGCCCGTCCGAACCGAAGATGACATGCGCAGTGGTAGGGAACCGATAGTAGTGGTTGTAAGCAACTCGGATCACTAATCTAAATACACCTTCATGGGCATCAACTTCATAAACCCATTGGTGATGATAAATCAAAGTTTTACCAGACAGATTTGCAGAGACAATTGAGAGAAGGCTTGTGACCTCTTTAAAATATCCAATTGACTGCCAAGAATGTTTCATCATTTTTATAGGAATGAACTCATCTCCATAATGGAGCATTTAGGGGAGAACGGCTCACAAAACAATTGATTGCAAGACAAAAAGGGTCAAAGAAAGATAAATTTTGTAAACAAATTTCCTAATAAGGAGCACACGCTGGAGCAACGAAAGACTATTGGTGTGCTCCATTTCCTTAGGAAAGCATGATAAGCCTGTTTTAAGGCCACTCAATTATTGGTGGCCCCAATAACGTCTTCATTGCTGCCACCCAAGTGGCACCTTTCGTGTGGTCAATGATCAAACAATGTTGATTGAAAACTTTACATGGCAGAGTTATATTTTCCACTTATTTTCCATTCAGAAAGTAAAAATGGCTAGGAAGACTATTTTTATTGATGATAAAGGCAAACTAAATGGTAATGGACATCCAAATAGATGACAGTGCAATCCTTATAGGAGAACAATCACCAATTGTTGCGATTGCACATCTAATGATGTGGGTCGTTGGCTCCCCACAAATTAAAGCAAACAATTGCATGTTAAAAGACATTTTCGCAAATCATAATAGTGTGGGAGTTTTATACTATCAAAGATGGAATATGAAAATATACAATAAAGATAAATTAGTCACATGATCAGGCCTAGTTATAGAAACAACTTCCATACTATTGAATAAATTTTAATAAAAGATATCCTTTAGCCAATCAAAATGGCAGATGATAATGTAGAAGGCATTATGTTAGGTCCCCACATGCATCAAATGAAAACACAAAGATGAGAAATGACAAGGCTGATGGTGTACACAGATATTAAATAATGGCCTTCGATGAGAGTGTAAAGCAGGCTACAGCACATTCATCATTGTCTTATTTTTAGTTGGCTACAACGAATGAAGCATCAAACATTTGTTATTGTGATGAGTAGGACATTCATTAGCAAAGAATATATCCATCATTTTTTACTACTAAAATTATCGCTAAAGTTTGACATTGTTAGCATTAGAAGAAAGCATGATGAACAGCTCGATCATTGTTGGTTGAGTACAAAGAGCACTAAAGTTTGACATTGTATTGCTAAGAGCAAGACAACCATCAACAATGAGCATAACAAGTGGCATAATAACTATCAATTGACAGCAACAAGCAATGCATCAAATATTGATTTTGCCGCAAACAGGATAGTCTTCAACAAAAATCACAACAAGCATCATCCCTATTAAAGAATTTTATACTTAGCAAAAAATAATTAAAAAAATTTCCGCAAAATGAAGTGAGAAATAAATATCTGTAAATTTCTAAAGAGTTATTTTGACTATTATCTAAAATATTATTTATATTTATCTACAATGAACAATGGAGATTGAAGCCTCCAATCATCAAATTTTGAAACAATAATGCCTTGTCGCTGGATCACCAGCCCAAACTAAGGCAAGTTTCCATTTAGAATGTAAAAAAGGCTAGGAAGACTATTTTTATTGATAATGAAGGCAAACTAAATGGTAATGTACATCCAAATAGGCGATCGCGTGACCCTTACAGGAGAAGGATCACCAATTATTGCAATTGCAAGACTACTGATTTGGGTTCACTTCCCAAAAATTAAAGCAAACTATTAAATGTTAAAAGGCATTCTCGCAAACCTTAATAGTGCAAGAGTTTTACCCTATAATAGATGGAATATAAAAAAAATACAATAAAGAGAAATTAATCACAGGATCAGACCTAATTATAGAAATCACCTCCATACTACTGGATAAACTTTAATAAAAGGTATCCCTTAGGAAATAAAAATGGTAGACGATAATGCAGAGGCATCCAATTAGGTTCCCACGTGCATCAAACGAAAATACAAAGATGAGAAACGACAAGGGTGATAGTATATGCAAATAATAAATAATGGCTTCTACGAGAGTGTAAGGCGGTGTATAGGACACTACTTGTTGCATTCTTCAAGATCGTCTTATTTTTAGTTGGCTCCAACAAATGAAGCATCCGACATTTGTTATTTGTGATGAGTATGGCATTCATTAGCAAAGAATATATCCATCATTGTTGACTAGCTATAATTATCACTAACATTTAACATTGTTAGCATTAGCATAGAGCGTGATGAATAGCTCAATCATTATTAGTTGACTAATAAAGTTTAACATTGTATTAATAAGAGCAAAGACAAAAGCATTAGCATATAGCATGATGAACAGCTCGATCATTGTTAGTTGACTACAACGAGCACTAAAGTGCAAGACAACAATCAATAATGAGCATAAATAAGTGGTATAATAAATATTGATTGACTAAAACAAGCAATGCATCGAAGATTCATTTTGCCACAAAGAGGATAGTCTTCAACACAATCATAACAAGCATCAACAATGTTAAGGAGTTTTCTCCTTAGCTAAAAATAGCAAAAAAAATTCCTACAAAACTAAGTGAAAAATAAACCTACCTGTAAATTTCTACATAGTTGTTTTGACAATTATCTAAAATAATATTGATACTTATCAACAATAAACAATGGAGATTGAAGCCTACATACTAAGGCAAGTTTACATTTAGAATGTAAAAAGGCTAGGAAGTCTATTCTTATTGATAATGAAAGCAAACTAAATGGTAATGGACATCCAAATAGATGATAGTGTGATTCTTATAAGAGAACAATCACCAATTATTGCAATTAAAAGTCCATTGATGTGGGTTGACTTCCCACAAATTAAAACAAACTATTGCAAGTTAAAAGATATTTTCGCAAATCATAATAGTGTGAAAGTTTTACACTAGCATACATGGAATATGAAAATATACAATAAAGAGAAATTAATCAAAGGATCAAGCCTAGTTATAGAAATCACCTCCATACTATTGTAGGAACTTTAATAAAAGCTATCCTTTAGCTAATCAAAATGGCAGACGATAATGTAGAAGGCACATTGGTAGGTCCCCACATGCATCAAATGAAAACATGAAGATGAGAAATTACAAGGGTGATAGTGTACACAAATAGTAAATAATGGCTTCTATGAAAGTGTAAGGTGGCTATAGCACACTGCTCGTTGCGTTCTTCAACATCGTCTCATTTTTAGTTGGCTACAACAAATGAAGCATCAGACATTTGTTATTGTGATGAGTATGACATTCATTGGCAAAGAATATATCCATCATTGTTGACTAACTACAATTAACAATAAAGTTTGACACTGTTAGCATTAACAGAGAGCGTAATGAACAACCTGACCATTGTTGGTTGAGTACGAGCACTAAGGTTTGACATTGTATCACTAAGAGCATAAAAACCATCAACAATGAGCATAACAAATGGCATAATAATTTTCAATTGACTGCAACAAGCTACGCATCAAAGATTGATTTTGCCACGACAGGATAGTGTTCAACAAAAATCACAAGCATAATCCATATTAAGGAATTTTCTCCTTAGCTAGAAAATAATAATAATAAAATATGCAAAAAGAAGTGAAAAATAAAACTATCTAGACATTTCTAAACAGTTATTTTGACTATTATCTAACATATTATTTATACTTATCTATAATGAACATTGGAGATTGAAACCTACAATCACCAAATTTTGATATAATAATGCTTTGTCGCCAAATCACCCACCCATATTAAGCTGAGTTTAAGTATTTAATAGCAATCTTTTAGTGGCATCCAAAGATATCAAAGAAATCTCAAATCACATATCTAATTAACATCATTGGCAACGATATCATGAACACATTAGTTGTAATGATCAAATTTTCAATTGGTAATTTGATGAGAAGGTTGTCTCTTGAATGAATATAGCAGAAATAAATGATAATGTCTCATCATTTTCCCATGGATCAACTCCTCTCTAAAAGGAGTGCTTAGAGAAGAACGGCTTACAATTTGGTAGTGAAAGAGGTGCAGTTACTTGAGAATTTTAAATCTTACATATTGTATTGCAGGGTTAAAAGTACACGGTACTACGGTAGTGCAATCGAAGGGCATTTAGGTGTAAAATTGCAGGGGTAACCTAACAGCACCCCAAACACCGATGCTGCCAGGGACCACCACCGCCCAAGTCACAGCATCGCAGGTAGTACACATGAATATAAGGAAATTGTAGATGTAATGGAAACGAAGCAACTTGGTGTGATTAGCCCCCAGATTGAGTGGTCAAGATATCCACATACTCTTTGTGATGCGTCAGAACTTTCTTTATAGTCGCACCATTGTAAGATTGTTTGGGCACTGGTCTGCTTAACCAAATCAAACTATGTTCTTTCTATGATATTATTCTAGGTTGCATGAGATGCTTGCTTCGCAAGAAAATTTAATGCTTGATCATAAATGGATACTTATGATCCCAACAAGTTCAATTCATAAAAGGATCAACGTGAATTAATCTAAATAAAAGATACCCAAGAGGAAAAAAACAAGTTTCCAATGAAACTTCAATTTTTTAAGAAAAAAAACTAAACAACGTTTGCAAGGGCTGAACTTTACCTTCGTCCCGAGCTCCTGAGCAATCCCTAGAGCCAGCGCCGTCTTTCCAGTGCTTGGAGGACCAGCAAAGAGCAGCGCCCGGCCGGCCATCTTTTTCTGGCGGATCATGTCCACAACTAACCCTGCCGCTTCCCTGGCAGCCACTTGCCCTACAAACCCAGCAGCCATGGCCATGGCGTTCCCACTCACCTGAAACACAAGAAAAAAAAACTGTTAAAAAAAGACATTTTTATTGCAACTGATGGAGAATGCAAAAAAAAACGCTAAAACCCTAAACCCTAAGCAGTTCGTTAAGGAGAAATACATCAAGACCAAGGCCTTTGATGTGGGTGTGAGTGGCTATGCGCTGCTTTTTTGTGGTGGATTGGACCTCCTCAATCCTCATTTCGAAGAATGCTCGACCTCTATTGTTTCCTGTCCTTCTTCTCCTCCCTTCGCCGCAGCGCTTAGGTCGACCGCCTGGTTTTCCGGTGCGAGGGCGCTGTTGTGCGAGCGGTCTGATCA